GCCAGAGTTAGCTTGTGGGGTTGCCAGAGTTAGCTTGTGGGGTTGCCAGAGTTAGCTTGTGGGTTTGCCAGGGTTAGCTTGTGGGTTTGCCAGGGTTAACTACCGGTAGTGAGTTAGGGCTGGGCCATATTATATCGTTCAAGATAATACCAGTTAAAAAAAAATCTTGCCCGGGAAAATAAATATCATGATATGCTAATTTCATGACGTAAATACATCATCCCACCACACAGCAGATTACGCTGCGAAGAAGGCATGAACAGAGACATCAGACTGAGCTGCACTGTTTTTGAGCGGGAGGGACACTGACATATCTTGAGCTGAGCGCTGTTTGTCCCGACAGTTATTGAGCCGGTCAGTTGAGGGAGGATGTTGCTTTTAGTTTTTTAGCTAGCGCGCTGCTAACTTGGAGTTACATCAGTGCAGGCGGCTGGGGTGCGCGCATCTTGGTTCGGTAAACTGTGAGCTTGGTTCCGTTGACACGATGGGACACCCCGTTTGTATAATGGTAGAGGAAACACTGAATGCATCAACCACAGATTTATGGTCAAGTCGGACCGCGGAGCCTGACCCAAGTCTGATGTGCACTAACAGACTGGGAACTGCGCAGCTCAAACCTCGAGACCAGCTGCTTTCCAGAGGATCAGGAAACTGGCTGATGGTTCTGATCAGCGGTCCTTTCAGGCAGCATTTCATTTGTTTTCAGCATTTGTCACAAGTTTTGGAAGTTATACCTCATTTAAAGGCAACATGTTTTTTCTGGTAGGTTACATTGATGCAGATCTTAAGCTTTAATTTTATTTAGTTTAGTTTTTTTGGGGGGAACTGCACCTGCACTTTAGTTTTTGTTGTGGATTTTGTTCTATATGTTGTGCAGACTTTTTCAATCTAAACAACAGAAGGATCATTTTTCTTTTTATACTTTGAGACTGAATACTTTAATAAATAAAGTAATTGCAGTAAATTTAACCCTTGGTTTTCAACAAGTTAATTTTGTCAAATGAACAACTATAACTTGTTTTTTTTTTAAATATACATCATGAAATTTCTCGTTATCGCCAGAATGCTCTGAAATATCACAATATATTTGAGCCATATCACCCACCCCTAGTACTGGGTTTCCCAGGGTTGGCGTGTGGTTTTGCCAAGAGCAGCTTGTATCTTCAAAGTTACCTTGTCACTTTGTCAGGGTTAGCTTATAGCTCAACCAGAGTTAACTTGTAGTTTTGCTTGAAATAACTTGTAGCTTTGCCAGATTAGTCAGTAGCCATCCTAGAGTGAGATCGTAGATGTGTTAAAGTTACCATGCGAGTTGTTAGGATGATATTTATATAAGAAAAACTAGATGTCTATGTAGCGTGAGTAGCATTATAATATATTAAAATGTAATAAATAATATATTTATTCTGAAACGTAAAGGTTCATATCAAGAAACAATCGCACAAAATTGCATACATACTATATGAAACCCTAAATTATGGATGTGCAGTGATCTTTGAATGTTTAAAAGCTAGCAGGGTTGAGTGAAATGGAAGAACTTAATGTTTCCAGCTGCTCCTGAGATTACAAATATATAAAGGGGGTATCCTTTTTGAGAAGTATTAAAACTAGCTGAGATCCACATTTTTGTGATTTTATGTAAAGAGGATGTACCCAAGTCTTTGTTTCACAATTTACCCAGTATTTATACCTGGAGTAAATTTCATGCCAACTCTTAGAACATCTGTTGAGGTACTTTGGTCTGGTCCAAAGGTGTGGAATAATCAGGCCAACACAGCCATCTGGGAACACACAGTTATTAAAGGAAAGCTGCAGACTCATAAGCAGTTTGAGTTAAATATGCACACATGAAAGCCTCTTTCCACCTAATTACAAATGTGAGCAAAGGTTGAGGTCAGAGGTCAGGGATATCGATGGCCATAATCCGGCTCCATCGTCCCGTCTGCTTCCGCTCTTGTGCATCAGTGTGTGTTTGAAGTCTGCAGGAAGGCGCGCCACCAGAGTAACCAGATAGCTCGGAGTACACGACTGTAGAAATCAACCACGGTCGGAGAGCTCGAGTCATTAATCTGATTGAGAGGAGCAATTGGTGCAGTGGGATCAGGAAAACACCTGATAGAAACTGAACTGGAGAGTTTCTATACAACTGCTGCTACAGCTGTAGTTCTGCTGACTGGTGTTGCACTTGTGCTTTAAATTTGAGTATTTAAAGTTACTTAAATGTGTTTTTATGCAGAAAATGATTGGTTAAAGAGATTTAATATGAAACTGATCTATATTTTTGGTACAATGCTGCAGATCTTTAACTTTTCATATTTAAACACAGAAAAACACAAAGACTTTCATCGCGTATCGTTGTCGGACATTTAGGACCCGTTTCCTCAGTCACTCCTCCTCCTGCCTCCGTCTCCATTTCTTCCATCAATCACAGATCATCACTAACTGCATAACTCAACTACATAATCTACTTCTACAAGGTCATACTTTAACAGCTTTGGTCATCAAATGCTTTTTGGTTAAGAAAAAGCCATCTTCCACTGGTCTTTTCATACCCACCTCTTCCCACTTTGGACCTGCCTTGGTAACCGCCCCCAACAGAGGTGGGTGGATGGATCGATAGATGGATGGATAGATAGATGGATTGAAATATGGATCGATGGATGGATCGATAGATGGATGGATAGATGGATGGCTCGACTGATGGACCGATAGATGAATCGATGGACAGATGGATGGATAGATGGATAAATGGATTGATAAATGGATGGATAGACGGGTGGATAGATGAATGGATAGATAGATGGATGGATAGATGGATGGATAGATAGATGGATGGATAGATGGATAAATGGATTGATAAATGGATGGATAGACGGGTGGATAGATGAATGGATAGATAGATGGATGGATGTATAGATTGTTCGATTGATGGATGGATAGATAGATGGATGTATAGATAGATGGATGTATAGATAGATGGATGGATAGATGGATGGATGGATAAACTCACTTCCTGTTTTTAAATCTGCTCTGTAGACTCATTTTTTTCTCTTTGGCTTTTAACGCAGCTTGAAATGTTGGCTTCACCGTTTTATGTTATTTGTTTTATTGTTTTTACCGTTTGCTGTTTTATGATTTGGTAGTTCATTACTTTTATGGTATTTGTCGAGTTTTTATGCTTGTATGTGTTAGTGTACAGCGCTTTGTCCAACGGTGTTGTTTTAAAGTGCTTTATGAATAAAGTTGTATTGTATTGTAGATGGATGGATGGCTCAACAGACTGATGGATCAATGAATGGTTCGATAGATGGATAAATAGATGGATCAATGAACAGACGGACAGAGACAGATAAATACTTTATTAATCTCGGGGGAAATTTGAGAGAATTTGTTGTCGTTTTCTTGGGAATCCCACGAGATATTAAAAAACACGGTTCTAATCAAATCATGAATTAAAACACCTAAAACAATACAAGTGTGGGTGGTCAGGGGTGAAATTAAACGAGGTGTTCTTCAACATTTATTGCACCGCTCCAGGTGGCTGCATGTTGGAGCAGCTCTGTTACTTTCATTCTGAGATTTTGCTTTTGGAAACTTTAATTCCTCTTTTTCTGGATGTAAATCACATTTTTTTGGATGATTGTTTCCTCTGGTATCAGATGCTGTGCAGCTGGAAGGATTTTTACTGAAACTTTTTTAGTTTTGGGCATTTGTTATCATGCGTAACCTTGGCAACAAGACAGTTTTCTACAACCAACAGCTGATTAACATCTCAAAAGCTCAAATAATATCTCAACTACAGCCCCAAATCTCAAATGAGTTGAAAAGGATGTTCTGTGGATGCATTCTCATCTGCCTGCCAGCTGTGCTCGAGTGCCTGACCACTGAGATCCTGGAACTAGCAGGAAACGCAGCTCGTGACAGCAGAAGGACAGGATCGTCCATCGGCACCTACAGTTGGCTGTCCACAGCGAAGAGGAGCTTGGCAGACTGCTGGGAGGAGTGGCCATCGCACTGGGAGGAGTTCTGCCCGGCATTTGGGTGGTCCTACAGCACGGGGGAACTGAGAGGCCAGCCGAGTCTGGGTGGACGGATCGGACGGCATCTGCAGCCAGTTTCTTAGGATCCACTGTGGGATGGACCTTTACAAGAGATCCTTCCCGTCTACAGCATCAGTGAGGGTTTCGGTGTCTTGCCCAGGGACACTTCAACATGTGACTGTTTTCAAGCTCTCAACAACTTAACTCCATCTTGTATTACAGACCTTACTGGTTCGTATTTTCCTAACAGAGCACTTCGTTCTCAGACTGCAGGTTTACTTGTGGTTCCTAGAGTTTCCAAAAGCAGAATGGGAAGAAGATCTTTCAGTTCTCAGGCTCCTCTCTTGTGGAACCAACTTCCAGTTTCTGTCCGTGAGGCTGACACATTGTCCAGTTTAAGACTGGACTTCTGTCCTTTTTGATAAATCCTATAGTTAAGGTTGGTTTGGGTTTCCTGAGCTATCCCTTAGTTATGCTGCTATAGGCTTAGACTGCTGGAGGATAATCTGACCTCAATTCATCAAATGAATAGTTTGTATTTGTAATCATTTATATCCTAGCATTGTTTTTTTGTCTTTCCTCCTAGAGGGGGACCAGCTCTCCTGCTTCGCCTCCATTCTGTGTCCGTTTCTACTTCCTGTCCTCTCAAACCCAGCCGGTTGAAGCAAATGGCCACTTGTCCTGAGCCTGGTTCTGCTGGAGGTTTTGAAAGAGTTCAAACAGATTTTGAAGGTGTGTGTGTTTGTGTACCTGAGGTGCAGGTCCTCAGAGTATTTCAGGCAGGCATAGATGAACTCTTTCAGCTGGGAATAGACTTTTGGTACGAACTCAGAAAACGGGAGCTTCTTGGGAAAGGGAAGCTAGATGAAATGGACAAAAAACAAGTTTTTAACTTTAGTCTTTATTATCAACCAGCGCTATGAAATCCTATGTTCATTTGTATGTCCGTTAGCAAAATATCTCATGAACCACTGGGTGGATTTTAATTAAACTCAGTAAGTAATAACTGGATGAACTACAACAGACAAACCAGTGGAGTAAACTCGATTCAAGCTCAAATATAAAATACCAATAAGTCATCTGTAGAGGTAAATCTCAAAATCGGTGCAGTAGTAGCTGAGAGTCATCCCCAACATGTACTTTGAGTTGAGTGCCAACAGATAACGCAACATCTTGGTTTAAAACTTGACCGTTACCTAATGGAGTCAACCCTGTTTGTTAGCGAAATAGCTCATGATGCAGTGGACAGACTTTAAAGAAACTAAGAAACAACAGGCTTCTAAAACTAAACGCGATTCAAGATGGCAGCCACAGCCAAATGGCGTTAAGATACCACTAAAACAATGACTCAGCTGATTTTTACAGGTGTGGTAGTAGCTGAGAGTCATTCGGCCCATGTGCATTCTCTCAAAGAATGGTAGTCGTACGGTTAGTACCTTTACTTACGTCTTTGGAATTATTTTTTTACTCATGTGCTTTGTACCTTTTCCAGTTCGGGGTCTTGCAGGGGGAACTGGGACGCGTACTGTCTGTATTCCTGTTCGGTCGAGACCGGGATCGGACTGTAGTTGTCCTGGTCCAGAATTTGCCTGCAGAGAAAAATCACAGGTATATCATTCCCCGTCCCCTCCTACGATGATGGATGTCAACAGGAGTGACATCAGTCGGCTCCTTGTCCCTCTCTTGTTCAGAGACAACAAACATCCCATTGGGGGTCGTTTTAACAATCGGGGTTTTCTTAACACCCTCCTGTCTGTCATAGCCCCCCCACAAACGTCCTTTTGGCTCTGCGGACTTCGAACGTTCCAGCGTTCCATGGAGAGGCCGTGAACCGGAGAGGGCTCTCTCCTCAACAATACAACACAACATTCCTGTGGCTTCCCGAGTGTGTGTGTGAATGAGAACGAGAGAGGGGAAGGAGAAAGGGAATGTGTGTTTGTTTGTCCGTTCTCCCCGCTCCGAGTCCCACTGGTGTCACCGGACAAAAGCGGTGGCGAAACAATGGCGCGTCGGTCCCAAACACACATTCACGCCAAGTCTTACGAGGGCACTGCCCGTCCTGAAAGGCCAAGTAAAGTCCCGGACGTCGTTTCTTACAACACATCCTCTCACCGGCAGCTCGTAAAACTTCAAGACTGAGGGTGTTTCCTACAAACATACTGTGAAGTGCAAAAAGGTGCTTAATGGTCCTTGTGACCTTATGACTCGAGCGGTGAAGGTCAGCACGGTTTTACAGACTCTTCATCACTACCTGAAGGTGATGTTCCATCTCTTGAGCAGGATTTCTCCGTACTGCTCCCTCATCTCCAGCAGCATGTCGAACAGCTGCGACACGGGAAAACCGTAGCCCTGCAAGAGAGATGGAAAGAACACGCAAAAACAGCATCGTTACAGGACAAATCACACCAAATGAAAGACATTGCACCTTACATGTGTGGTACAACCTGAATATCCAATACTACAAACTCAAATCCCATTTTCTTATCAA